ACGAGGTGCTCAGACACTACCTCGTACTGCTCATCTGCCTTTGTCATCTCCAGGCGGCTTGTTTGCAACGGCTTCGTCTGCTTGATGCAATACCTAAGGAGATGGTACACATCACCAGCGCATAGAAATGTACAGTGATGCTGTAGATGTAGATGGTGCAAGACTAGGATACTGAGGCAGACTGAGGCAGGATGCAGAATCTGCAGTTGAGCCGTAGCTCTCGTGTCGTCATGCTTCATTTGCAGACCTTGGCTCTCTTCAATGACTTTCTGAGAGTTCCAATGTACTATTGATGTCATGTCCTGTGTCCAAGTCCTTCTCTCAGCTTCCGGCGAATTGTTGGATCCTGTGACTTTTTCAGATCGCCCCTGATCCTTTGCTCACTGACGGTGATGACGAAGGCAAAGTAAGCCCAACCCTTGTGGTTCAAGATGTTCTTGATTGTCCTGAGCAGAGGACTCATTTTGTGCCGCAGGGCGAATCCAAGAATTCAAGGTCTAAGCTCACATCTGCGTTCCTGCATGTGGCTTGCCAAAATGCCTGAGTCATCCTACCAGTAGGTCCTAGGTTTGTTAGCTGTTAGTGTTTATGCGAGCGGCGTGCACCGTTCCTGCGGCATCCTGTGCCCAAACTGGTAGAGCACGCAATGGCACGCAAGGCAAGGGGATTTGGGAGCACAATCCCACACCCTCAAGGCCACGGCAGCCTCCCGCCCATGCAACTTATGCGCTTGGGAGCCCAAGCCTTTGACAGTAGCAACTCCGCGTGCAAAGGGAAGTCAGTGGTCTTTCACGGTATTCCAACGTTTGTTGTCAGGTCTCGGCCCTCAATTTTCAGTACCCTGCTGGGCCATTCGCAGAATCAGATCTTCATGACAATGTGGGGCATCTGCTAAGATATGTTCAACACTTGTGCGAAGTCTCTCAAGTGGCTTTTTTGGACCAAGCGACTGGTCGTTCTTGTCACGCCAGTCCCATGTTCGCGTTGCTCGCAGCTTGTAGTTCTGAATGCTTCGCTCCTCGCGGTAGCGAGCGTAGAAGGCCATGTCACCTCAAGTCTCCACCTCTTGACTCTCACTCTGTCCACTCTGTCCATGCTTGTGTCACGCTGCATTCACACGATGATCTCCGAAGGGGCCCCCTGTTCTGCTGAGAGACCTTGCCGCCGCAGCAACTTGAAGGACGCCTCTATGGGAAGCCTGTCCTGTCGGCTGTGCCGATCTATTTTGCAAGTGATATGCAGTGATATGTGCAGTCGAGGGGATGCCAGCTGTGAATTCCGGCGAGCTGGAAATGAGCCACTCAACCCTCGAAGCATGTGCTCGCGATGACCTTCAACGCCGAATCCATCAACATGTTGAAACGAAATACGCATAAACCCAAGTGCAAGTCAGAACCGGACTTGGAAACAGTCGTCATCCAAAGGGACTTACAGAAGGAATCGTGAGCACCTTCTGCGCTTGTTGCGAGTCCTTTCCATCCTTGACCGCCTGCGCCAGCTCCGTGTGGCTCATTGATGTCGAGAAGCAATCCCATTCGATCTTGAGGTCCACCTCATGCAGTCATGAATATCCTAAACTCCTAAACCCTAAACGGCCATAAACCCTAAATAGACGAACATGATACATCGTTCATGCCTCCGTGAAGGTTGACAAGTTGTCTTCTTTGGGCACCAGCTCGCCTTCACATCCTTGTCTGTCTTTGCCCAGAGCGAAAACGTGAAAGACCTGTCACTCCTGGAGTCCTGCCAGAGGGAGCAAGCTGCTGTCTGGATTTTCAGACCACATCGCCAGCCGCACAAACAGCCCCCAGACGGTCCCGGAAGACGGTCTGCGTCTCCTTGTGGGAACGATGACCATCGTCACTGCCTTGAACCGCTGGATTCAGATGCAAGGTAAGCAGTGTGTGTGTGGGCTCAGGCGATTCAGATGATTCAGCAAAGCTAAGGGAAGAATATTGACCAACATCTGATGTTGCCATGACGCTCTTCGTGAGGATGTGGCTGACAATCCGATAGTCGTGGCCTCGGAGGGGTGGGCTCGACCATGTGCGAAAGGGCTATTGGGATGCATGAAGGAAGGTGTCAAGCCTTGTTGTCCTTACTCTGATTGGGAACAACTTGGCATAACTGTACCTTGTTTAGCAGAACACGGCCTTTCGTGAACATCCGGGCAGCTGAGGGAGCGGCTGGCCTTCAGCACATCTTGCTTCTTGCACTCTTTTCTGGGCATCTGCGGCCCCCAGGAATGCAGAAGGGTGTACATGACCTGATTGGCAAACTGGCAAAGTTCCCTAGCACGTCCTAATCGTTTCAAGCTGCTTGGCCGACGGCACGCCTAAACCATAGCGAACAGCAAGAGGCCAAATGCCGCCCCTACTGCTTATCACTTCTTGCAGCTCCGAAACTTCCACGACACGAGCATGCATCTTCCGATTGCATGTGTGCACCTGGCAATGGTCTTGAGAATTTGAGTGCTGTCGTGATCTCCTTTCATCGTGAGCTTGCGCGGGAGCGTATGGCTTCATTTTTGAAGTCAGGCGGCAATGTGGGCCATAGCATCGATCAGGTTCGTGACATCTGTGTCCACATGGTCCAGCAGCGACATGTTGCGGGTGCCAGTATCCACCTCACAGAAGGTGCCGCATGCAGAAAGAAAATTGGGTCTTCATGCCCATCTGCCACTTCTGCAACAAAATGCTGCGCAGCATGAGCACATCTTCATGCTCTTCGGCTGAGAGAGACGAGCGAGACAGAGAGAGACAGAGAGGGAGGGAGGGAGAGCGCGAGGGAGAGAGAGAGGCAGAGCCAGAGAGGGAGAGAGAGAGAGGGAGCGAGAGAGAGCGAGATCTGTGCAGAAGCCCGTGCTGCAGACCTCCACATCCTTCAGCATGTTGTACAAGTCGCGCAGCCCATCCCCCAGATCCTACAAGCTTTTGAAACCCTGTATAACGTGTTAAAACAGAGCTGTATGCAGCCATAAGTTCACACAACACTTCACATCAGAACATCACCGCTTGCACTCAAGCCCACTCATGAGGCCCAGGAACATATGCCAAGAGCTGCAGAATGGGCACGCAGTTGGTGTTTGTGAGGAGATCAGACCTCTGAACACACACACACACACACACTACGGTCAATAATTTCAGCAGATAGACGGGAACAGCATGGCACAGCGGAGTGCTCTCGTCCGAGATGCTGCAGGTTCGAGAGACACTGGCCCACGTTAGAGATGGCTCCACACAGCTCGCGGAAAAGCCGTGTGTTGAACACGTAGGGCAACAGGAGGTATTTGTTCGCAATGACTTTGCCTGTCGGGCGAGCATCTGCCAATGAGAATGAGTAGGCTTTTCAAGGGGGAGCGCATAACCTGGTACACACGTGAATTCTACATGCGTTTTGCATCGTACACGGAACATGTAAGCAGTTCAAATTGAGCACCGGGCGGGTCTGCGGGTCGATGCAGGCAGACGGCGTGTCCAGCTTGAAGGCCGTGGCATCCCTGGGAGGAAGAGACACACACAGCAGTCACACACAGCAGTCACAACAGTCGCAGCCGCCACGTGCTCTTGTCACTGAAAGAGTCTTGTCTTACATGTGTTTGCCAGAGGTGCTTGAAGCGAGGAAGGAAGTCCTTGATCTCTCCAATGACACGCATGAGCTTGGGCACCACATCTTCCACGATGAGCATTGCGTGCCCTTCAGGATGAGACACCAGACACACCTCGACCAGAGAGCGCACAGTCTTATGGGGAGTATGGGGCCATACCGGGCCATGTGCAGTCTGCGCAGGGTCTGCGTACAGTTTGGCATGAGTACTCTTACGTCCTTTGTTCTGCCCCATGCTGCACCTTCTTCAGCACAGATGCCGAGCTGAAGGCCACCTTACGACCAGAACAGCTGGAATTCGACACTTGTCCAAGCAGGATATCGGTAGATGAGCCGCGGAGAGATCACGAAACAAGTCGTGGAAGTTTTCGAGCTCACTCAACCGGTCCACGGATCGCTCCAAAGGTCTGAGAACCTCAAGGGTTGCGTCTGGAATTGCAGAGGTAACCCTACACACTGGGAGTCGCAATGTCGCGCGCATGGCTTCTTTCCTTGCCTGAAGCAGCGGCTGGACGGTGGATCCTTTGGTCTTCGTGCTTTTCTGCGTCGAGGAGGACGTGAAGGAGACCGCCGAGACGATCTCGTAGCCTGAACTGCACGTCGGAAAAGCTTGAAAGATCAGGGCATGCCGTATTGTGGATGTGAGAGATAGGCCACTAGAGGAATCTCACGACCAGGGAGCGCATCCCTTGACGGATGATGTTGAAGATAAATGCCCGCTGCTCTTGTGATGTCTCGGCTTTCTGCAGGATGGCCAGCAGTGGGCTGATGATCCTTCACATTCGAAGCGGCACTCTGTGCGGACCGAGCTCACGCCTGTTTGCTCATGTCGGCGCCTGCTTGAGGCAGGTTCTTTGCTCTCTGCGATGTCCTTTGCTTCCGGCTTGAGCCTAGTTTGGCCAGGGTTTCGTGCTCTGTGCAACATATCTCTCTATGTACATAGGTACATACATGTACTTATCTACTTCTATGTATACATATATATGACTGATGCTGCCCTTGTGCCTGCACTCTGCTACCCTCGGAGCTTGGACGCGGGCCACTTTGTGAGGATGTTGCAGAAGGACAGCAGGGATGCCCTGACACACTTTGTATCGCCACACATTGTGGCGTCACGCGCAGGTGAGCACACCGCACTTGAGCGGCATCCCAGGGCGCCCACTCTGCTTTCTCCGGCACGTAGAAGGCTTGTGTCATGGACGAAAGCACCTGATTCGCAACTTGCGAAACTTTTTCCTTCAGTTTGACAGCAGAGGCAAGCCTTCTCCACATTTGCGCGCGTGAACCTTGCCAGGTTTCCTGACGGGCATGGGGCTGATCAACGATGTCTTCTTCCCAACCATTCGTGGACGCCGCTTGCAACAAAGGCGCTCGGTATGTTCAGCAGCTGCAGCACAGCATCGCACATGGATTGTGCCACAGTGGGGTCCAAGCTGTCCACCAACGTCCTTTGCAGCAGGCTGAGGGAGTCGTAGGGCTTGGTCCCGATCTTCTACATTACAGTACAGTGTGGTTGTGCGCTGCGCGGTTGCTTGGGTCTGTTCCAAGATTCGACTAAAGCTACATGATGTATGACACAAAAACTTAAACAAATTGGAAAATTGGTGGTTCGTTTGACTTTGTTGAAGCAACTTGAAGAATAGCTTCATGCAACACTGCACCTGCCAGGAACAACACAAATGTGCACGCTAGCACACACACACATAACCCCTCGCACGCACAAATGCACACACCACACAGACGCACACGGCCACGCACATGGCCACGCACACGGTCACGACCACGGCCACGCCCACAACCACGCACACGCGCACACCTCGGCGCACGCCCGTGTACGCACACCATGCGCGTCCGCTGCACTTGCACTGGAACGGGATGCGGCCTGAGCATGCATGGGGCCAGACGAACTCACCAGAGGGATGTGTTGATTAGTGACCCTGAAAACCCTCGAACAAACTTAAGCAAACTAATACCCTAAACATCCCTAAACACCTTAAGCGATAAACGAATCTCAAACCCCGAACCCTGAACATCCGTACATGCTCAAAGCCCCCCCACCCCCAAGCCCAAAACCACATCCTAACAATGGAAAACACTTAAGACCTCAACAAAAAGCCCACAAAGTCCAAACCTGAAGCCCTCAAAGCCCAAAGCCCGAAACCATGTCCTAAACCTAAAACCCTCAAGGCACAAACGCCAAGAACGGAATCACAAGACCAAACACTTGATGCCCAAAAGCCACTGCAAGCATAGCATGGACTCTTGGTTCAATCATCTATCTCTTCTGATTCTGGAGTGTGTTTAGAAACAACTGAATAAACGGCGCAACCACTATCCATGTTTAAACTACATAAAACGGTACAATAATACACAAGTCTTGAACTAGGAAAACACAATCAGTGAGATCACAAATGTAATCACATCAACAAATCAAAGAGTAATTGTTGTCAATTTACTGAAGCACAAAACTACAGGTCAAGTTTCAGAGCTGATTGAGTACTGCAATGTTCCATTCAAAACAACTCAAAAGCCCTAAGCACCCCGAAAGCGCCCCAAAGCAATCACATTCAAAAAACACTTAAAACCTTATGCTTGTACAACTCCAAAGCCCTGACAGCCCTGACAGCCTTTCACATCTCCAAAGCCCTAAACACGAAACCCGAAACCCTAAACTCATAAACCTTGCGACCTTAGACACCCTAAGAACACTGAAAGCCAACCGTAAAGCCTTGCAAAGCTTTGAGCCCTTAACACCCGAAAAAACCCTAAAAGAACTCAGCCCCAAACTTCGAGCTCAAGAAACAACAAAAGAACCAAGCAAGGGCCAAACACCCGTACAACCCGTCAAAGCCCTCAAACCTGAAACTCCTAAACCTCAAAATCTGCAAAGATCGTGCAGACCAATCACATGCCCCAAAAAAGCCCACGACCTAAAGTGACAAACCCTGAAAACCTAAAACCGAAGCCCTAGTCGTGAAACTCTTACACCTTAGAACCCTGACAACCCCAAAGGCCTAAAAACCAAACATATCAAACACACCCTACAAACCTTAGACCGCCGAACCTTAAAATACCCAAAATCCCAGACGCAAAGCCCTAAACCCTAGACTCCTCAGCCTCAAACCTCAAAAACTCTAAAGACGCCAAACCCAAAGAACATATTCAGAAGCCAACAACCCTGAAAAAAACCCTAAGAACCCTGAACCCGAAAAACCTCAATCTTACTTACCCTTAATTAACCCGAAAACCCTCCATAAACACCCAAGGGCCCACACCCCAAAAACTACACCAGCCTAGAACCCCTACAAATCGAAAAAACCTCAAAACCCGAAACACCAAACTCCTAAACCTTAACGCCAGAAAAAACCTTAAGGCCCTAAAACCACAAAACAATTGTCACATGCCTACAATAACCAAGCCCCAAGCCCTAGCCACCTCATAAACCCTTACTTAAAGCCCTAAAAACCTAAACGCCGAAAAGCAATAACATCCTGGAAGTCTAAAACCCGAAGGCCTAAGCGTGAACAGACATACCAAAGATCCTGCAAGCCCTCAGTCACAATAAAGCCTGAATGCACTCAAGCCCTAAACACAAAACCCGAAACCTTAAACTCCTAAGCTTAAAAAAACCCTAAAGCTCTAAAGACACCAAACACAATTAAAACGCCCAGAGCGTAAACCCCAAACCCGAAGATCTCAAACCTGAAAAACCAGGAACCCCAAAGTCCTCTCCAAACACCCGCAAACCCTAAACCCTAAAGCCGCCCTAAACCCTAAACCCTGACCGTTTAAAACCCGAAGAACAAATATATGCATAGGCCTGCGAACCCTTGAACACTTTCAAAACCCTAAGCTCCAAAACCTTCAAAGTCGAAAAACCCTAAACGTACTAAACGGAGTATCAAAAGTCCACAGACCCTAAACCCTAAATTCCTAATAGCTGTAAGCTCCAAAGCCTTTCTTGGTACATACATGTGTTTTTGGTGCTCTGCTCGGTGTCTTTTTGGGTTGTTGGTGCATCAGACGGAATGACACAACACGAGAATGAAGTGAAGGGGAAGTAATGAGACGGTGTCCGGCGAAGACGGCTCACGCATGCGCACACACACACACACATGCGGATAGGCGCGCAGATCAAACATTCCACCATGGCCCCCCACCCAGAATCTGAGCTGAGCTGCAAGATGCGTGTCATACTTTCGCTGAACTTGTGAGGCTGCTTGGTGGCAACCTCGGTGTGCCGTGTGTAGTGGCCACCCTGCTTATGCGTGGCAGCTGAGATTCAGACCGCGAGCACGGCAAGCGCCAAGATTCTTTGAATTGGCCGCAGCTGGCTGTTCAAGCCTGGTCACAAGATGTCACAAGTATTCGCAAGGTGGCAGTATGGACATTGGCGATGTCGAAACTGAACGCGAAGTCCGAGCTCAAGGCGGACATAGCTCATGCTGGCAATCACGTTTGTGTTATCAGCATCGTCCTTCGTTGCCGCTGCATCGATGTCCTCATGCACAAAGCGCGCACTCCAGCTGGGCACCGTGATCAAACTAGGAGTCAGATTCAGCTAATGCATCCCGGGACATGACAGCAGCTTTCACTGGCTCAGGTGACACTTACCATCGAGAGGTATCGAGAGCCGGCGAATCGTGAGCCCACTCCTGACCACCCGCTGCAACTTGTCCATCGCCCAAGCTGTCTAGATTTCTGGCTGTTGCCTGGGAAGTTCCATGGAGCAGCTGCCAAATATTGCCAAGTTTTTGGAGCTCACATCCAAGCTGCTTTGGCCACGCGCGTCCACTTCAGCAAGCTGTTCATGAACCTGCATTGCAGTGCGCAGAGAGCCGTGCAACAGCTCGATTCAACGAAATCACTTGTGTTCTTCTGCCTGACAATGCCAGTGGGATCTTCTTTTGCGGCATTCCCGGAGTCGTCTTGCTTGTCGTCGTCCTGAGGCAAGCAAGGCCATGCCGGCTGAAGCCGCCTCGTTCCAAGTTCTGTTTAGAGAACCCAAGGCAATGTCCTGTTCTTGGTCAACCTGGTCCTTGTCACTCTCGAGCTCCCTCCTGTGAGTGCAACCCAATGCCTCATGGCGCCCTTTCCCAACTACTGGTAGCTTCCAATTGCTTCGATTGACTTTGCCCTACTGTAAAGCACTCCTGAGGCGTGACTCAATCGCTTCCACCAGGCGCAGGATGTACTCAACAATGCTCTCATTCCTGCCTGGACACGATCCGGAAGAGTCTTTGCAGCTGGTGACCACTGGGCTTATGATTTTTCACAGACATCTTCTCTACGGCACCGCAAGGAATGGTGCCTGGGCCTTTCTCAAAGGCAAAGCTGGTGTTTCCTGGCATCCATCGAAACCCAAAAAGCTGATCAAGAAATCAAGCTCACAAGCCATTCTCTGCAGCCTTTGCTCTTGTCGTCGGACGTGTCTTGCGAGACCATGCCCTGTGTGAGGCCCTGACATGGCGAATGTGGCTCAAGACTTCGATGCTTGCAGGCGCAACAAGGTGTAAACCTGTATGACGACTTTGGGAGGCTCATCTGACACCATTTCGATGTCGTCCTTTTCCTGGCCGAAAAAGCTGGCCAGGAGCATGTGAGGAGCATGAGAGCATGCCCAAGCACAATATCAGAACCTTTTGCCCCTTGACTCAGGGGATGCATTCTGCGCCAAGGCACCAGGAAGGGATCAAGCCTTTTGCCACTCATAAACTGCAGCTGATAGTAGATCGTGTCTTGAAAATCCAGCTGGAAGACCTGCCGTTGCGCCAGTGGCGAGTCTAGCGAGTCAAGCCAGTCAAGCAGCAGCGCGACCAAGTGTGAGACCAAGTGCACCTCTACGGGTTCGCCCGTGTCGTGTTTGTAGCGCTCCTTGAAATGCGCCTGCAAAGCTCTGCACAGCAACCCAGAGCATCTCTTCAACGGGCTTTTCGCTTAAAAGATGGAATCGAACTGCTGCGTTCGGCTGTTTCCACCATGTTAAAGAGTAAAGAACCTTTATACACGAATGGAAGTAACACAACACTGAAGAAATGGTTGCAGTTTGGGGCCGAAATTCGTCACCTGTGTTTTGCTACGCTTGAGTATCCTCGCAAAATAATACAAAGCAACAAAAACAAAACCAGACAAACCTGTCCAACAAAAATACAGCATCACACTGCCCTCACCAGTCGGAGAGCTGTATGTATGTTCAGTGGTGGCGCCGCCCTCTGAAGGAGGCGTGGCCCGTATTGACAGCATGAGTCCAGAAGTACAAAGCCAAGTAGCCAGACTCAAATCAAAGCCAGAAAACAACCAAAAACACAATCGGGAACTCTTCTTGAAAAGGGCTTACGTCTGTCTTGTTTCCAGGAGTTCCCGACAAATTGGTGTTTTTGTTGGTCATTTGGATTTGTTTTTGGCTCTGTTGGCTTGGTCGGTTGGTTTTGCATTGGTTTGTTTTCTGGTATGTGTATTCTGACAGTTTTGTCATTAGTTTTCAACCAGCATTGCATTTCATTGATGTTCTATTGTTTCGACCCATGTCTAGCTGGCATCGAAGAACTTTTTTGGGGCATGAAAAAAGTCATGTGTATTTAACTCATGCTTCTTCATGTTTGATCGCTAGAAAAAAGTGTTCGTCAACAAATACAGTAGATGTTGCTGGTTCTCGGCCTGTCAGGTGGGTATCCCAATAGCTGTCCTTCTTTGCCCGGTGCTCCTCTCTGAGATGACGGCTTTCTTTGCCTTCTTTCTCTACTACGAACCCTCAGATAACCTAGACACGAAGCCTTTCGGTTCTTCAATACAGTCAATACAACACGGAAGATTAGCAAAAACGCAGCGTGTCGATTTCGCCCATCAACTTTCATGTCTTTGCCCTGCTCCATCGTTTGCAGGGAGTCCCGCCTTGTCCTCGGCCTTCTGAGCTTCCGATTCTGCCAGCTCCATCTTCAGCGGCCTCGCAGAAGGTTATTGTTGAATCTCGATCCAGCAGTCGTGTAGTGTACTCTCTCGCCCTGGCTAACTTCAGCCCTCTTTTGATGCTCGAGGCCTCGTGTGGGCCAGTATCATCCTGCACTCCTTTAAAGCTCGCATGGTGCGCCGTAGCGTGCCGTAGCAGTTTGAAAAACAAGCGCGTCCTTGCGCTTCTCCACCGGCTGTTGAAGTGCAGATTCTGTTTTGGCCTGCCCAGCTTCTTCAGGCTTCGAGTTGAGGGACAGCTTTGCCAGTGTTGCCCTGAGCGCGCGACCAGCCACACAATGATCTCGTTCGGGTCCTTTACTTCTGGCTTTTCCTGAATGTGGCTACAGCGCGGCTGCAAAATGCGGCCACAAGAGCCTGATGAACTTGGGATGCCCTAGTCGGACCTGCCAATCCGACCAATCAATCAGCCTTGTTTGTCCAGAGAAGTTCTCACCCACCTGCACACCGTGCTCTCGTAGGAGACCAAGTATGTCAAGCAGCCAATTACTTAAAGATGCCAAGGTGATTAGGTGATTGCCGCCTGCCGCCCAACCTGTGGTACTGCTTTGATGGTCAGCCCTGGTGCTCCGGGCACGCGGAGCTTCATGATCTGACCAAGACCTGCGCATGCATCGCATGCTTGTGCCGGTTCCTAACCCGGGCTGTTCCCCCGCTGTGGTGTGCCGCGGTGTGCCTGTCTCGCTGGCTCGGGCTTTTCGAAGCGTGTCGGGGGCTTGAATGGGCTTGGTGGCCACCTCGGGATAGAGCTTGTGAACATAATCTTGCGACTTCTGCGCGGAGGAGTGTGTCGGCCAAGGTGCTGAAGGCTGGACGTTTGAGAGGCAACTGTACAGCACCTACGAGTACGACACTCAGCATCAGGTGGCTCAAGCCTGCATGCGGCACACGACTTTCCACGTGTTGAATGGCCTGCGCTACCAAAACTTGCTCATCCACTGAAAGATCATCGTCGCGGATGGCGCAGAGCGTGGCCATGAGGCGCCGCTGATTGCATCTAGGCCAGGCAGGCGGCTGCTTCCATTCAAATGCGAATTCCGCAAGCTGCCGAGGCACTGTTGCAGCACAAAGTTCATCAACACACGGTACCTTGGCTGCGGCTGCAATCTGACACCACCTGCACATGCACAGAAAATGCGAGAGATCACTCATGACAGCAGCAAGATGCTGTCCACTGATTCGACGGTCATCCTTCCGTCTGATCATCTGCTGCATAAAGCGCTGGAACTTCTCACCCTGATCCAGGGCTGTGAACTGCCTATTCATGATTCACCCCCTCTACTCGCATGGTTTCCGAACTGTTGGGAAAAACGGGATGGCGGCTTGATCTACCGAAGGTTCTCAGGCCGAAAGCCTCTGCGGCACCTGGCTAGAATCCTGAAGGTTGGGCAAAAACAATGATTCGCTGCCCCTTGTTGCCACTTCTGGGATCTTCGAAGTGCTCGGGAGAACGGACAGCCCATGCAAGGTGGAAACTCGAGCAGTTTGCGATGAGCGATAAGCGATAACGGGTACATCATGGTGCATCGGATACACGGACATCTGCACGCGGCCTGGCAAATCTCTTCAGCCCAGTGCTGACGCAATTCAGGGGATGGTCCAGCAAGAAGCTTGATCAAGAGATCCTCACTGAAGGCAAATTTACGTGCGGGGGTGGGGGGGGGGGGCAGTGTCTCAGCGAAGGCTTGGGGCACTCTGTCCTGCGTGCGAATGACCGTCGTGAAGTTGGACGTCAGGAAGCCTGGCACCGGTTGGCGCTCCGCTACCATGTATCAAACAATACAGATGTCAGATAAAGAGAGCCCATGCATCCGAAACAACCAACTTCTTAATCTGTTGGCATGGGGAACGGAAGAAGGTAGTCATCGCCCCCACGGATGGATCGGCCAGGCACCTTGAGAACCCCTCTTCGGTGAATTTCCGTGCAT